TAGTAGTAGTAGTACTAGTACTAGTACTAGTACTAGTACTAGTACTATAGTACTATAGTACTAGTAGCAGAAATAGTAGTAGTAGTAGTAGTACTAGTACTAGTACTAGTACTATAGTACTAGTAATACTACTACTAGTACAAATAGTAGAGTATACGAGTACTATACTACTGCTGGTCCGTGCACGCACGCACGCCACGTACCGCACGGACCGTATACGCAGGCACGCCAGGTATATGCAACACCATGCAGGCAATTGACGCACGCGACGCACGTCACGCACGCCCTGCACGACCTCAACGCACGCCACCGACGTCACGCATGCCACGCTTCGCACGCCACGCTTCGCCAATCCATGAACGCCATGCACGCCACGCACCGCACGGACCGTACGCAGTGCACGCCAGGTAATATGCAACACCACGCACGCACGCGACGCACGTGACGCACGTCACGCACACCGTACGCGACCGGAACGCACGCCACCGACGTCACGCATGCCACGCCACGCACGCCACGCACCGCCCGCACAGCACGCACTGCACGCACGGCAGGCACCATACGCACGCAACGCAAACTAACGCACGGCACGCACCGCCCGCACAGCACGCACTGCACGCACGGCAGGCACCATACGCACGCAACGCAAACTAACGCACGGCACGCAAGCCACGCACGCCACGGAAGGCAGGCACACACGGCACGCCCGCCACACGCACACCACGCACCGCACGCATGCCTCACGCCATGCACGTACCGCACTCACGCCAGACTGACCGCACGCACTCCGTGCATGCCGCGGCGCCTGTCCTGCCACGGGCCGCGCATGCCATCGCACGTCACGCACGCCCTGGACGCCATAAACGTACGCCGGATGCCACGGATGCCATCCACGCCACAGTTCGCACGTCACGCCTCGCACACCAGGCCACGAACGCCACGCACGCCAGTCTAATCCATTCTATACGCCGTGCATTAACGCACGCTATGGCAGGCACCCGCCGCATGGCACGCATCGCACGCCGCACGCCACGCAAGCCAGGCACCCCGGCTACTCGAACCATACACGCACGGCTTGCCACGCACCGCACGGAATGCAGCACGCACGCCGTGTACGCCGCGCCCACGCACGCACGCCACGCACGCCTCGCACGCGACGCACGCCCTGGATGCCGCAAACGTACGCCACTCATGCACGCCACACCTCGCACGCCACGCCTCGCACGCACACACGCCAGTATATATACACCCTGCATGAACGCACGCCACGCACGCCACGCAAGCCATGCAGGACCGTAACCGCATATATACGCAGGGCACGGCACGCACGGCACGCCGTGGACGCCACGCCTGCCATGCCACGCTCGCACACCATGTGCACGCGACACGCACGCCGCATCCGCACGACACCCACGCATGTGCATGCCGTGCATGCACGCCGCCGCAGGCACACACGCCATCATGCCACGCACGCGACGCACATGACGCACGCACGCACGTCACAGACATCGTCACGGCACGCTGCAGGCACCGCACCACGCACGCCGTGCACGCCACGCTTGGCCCGTCCACCCCACGCACATGCACGGACGGCCCGCACGCATGCACGCCTCGCACGCAAATGGCCAAAAAACACGCAATGGCCGTTCCTCCCGCACCCCGCACCGCCCGCACACAACTGCACGGCACGCCACGCACGCCATGCACGCAGACGCCACGCACCCGACGCCTGTCGCATGCCACGCCACGCACGCCGTACTATAGTCGTACTATGATACTAGTACTACTGCTGCTGCTGCTTGCTGCTGCTAGTTCTACTACTACTACAACTATAACAAC